AACAAAAGACGCTCCTAATGCTCTTATCACTTGGGAATTGACAAGGGTTTTAGGAACTCTGTGCCAGAAACAGGGAGGAAGACCAAATATATATTTCTTATTATAAATCACAATATCACACTGTCTCAGCAGGATTCTTGCAAAAACTGAACTTTACAAAGAAGTGCACTGAGGGGCCTAGGAGAAGGTTCATGAGCCTGACTAAAGTCTGCCCAAGCAAAGAATATTCATCAGCCGTTGCAAATAGCTGTTCTCACCAGGCATCTATGTACTTGATTCATTTTTATTGACCAGAAATCCTAAATGTTGATGTAATCAAATTTGTCAAGCTTTTGCCTCATGGTTTGTGCTTTTAGGTCTTTTAAAATAATTAAATTTCCTTTAATTCATTTCTACATTAAAGTAAAATTTGCATATAGTAAGGTGAGCAAATTTTAATAATAACACTTGTTGACGAACGTGTGTACCCAGGTAACTAGCCTCCCGATCGTGATATGTAACTCTTCCATCATCCCTGCAGGTTCCCACATGTCCCTTCTCAATCACCTCCACTGTCCTGATTTCTAGCTCCCTGTTTGTCTTTTTGTAAATGGACCCAGACAACATGTACTCTTCTGTGTCTGTCTTTCACTCAACACTAAGGTTGGAGAGGTTGATCCACATTGTTGCTTGTACTAATCATTCGTTCTTCGTTTATTGCTGAACATCCCAGAGTCTGTGTTTGTGCAAATACACAAGTCTGATTACACGTGCTTCCATTGATGGCATTTGAGTGGCTTCCAGGTTTTGGTTACTATGAATAAAGCTACTATAAATATTCACATACAAATGTTTTTGTGGATATGTGTTTTCTTTTCTCTTGGGTAATTTCCTAAGACAGGAATGGCTGGGTTCCTCTTTTGGGTCTTTATGAAGAAGTTTTTCCCCACTCTTAGATGACAAAGCCATTATTCTGAATTTCCTTCGATGGCCTCCTTATTTAGGTCTCTAACCCCTATCAGTATACAGCATAAAGGAGGAATTTTTCTGTTTCTTTTCTCTTTCTCTCCAAATAGTGAGTCAGATTTTTGCAACTTTATCTGTTAAAAGATCCATTCTTTTCTCACTGAATTGTGGTTCCTTCTTTATTATGTATCGAGTTTCTACATATAGATGGATCTGTTTCTTTATGTTGGTCTATTTCTTATATTCCTTTACTAGCAGCATACTGTTTTTATTATTGTGACTTTGTAGTATGACTTGATGTCTGGTGTGATGTCATTCTCTATGACATCAGAGAGGTTTGCCACAGGAAATATAAGTCGTGGCAGATTTTTTTTTTCAGTACAGTGGGTTTCAATATAGAGAATTGTGCGCTTACAAAATCATTGGAATGGCTGAAGTTGTGGGTTTGAGGCTGGGCCTCTTGTAAAGACACCTCCACGTTACAGAATTGACCCAGGGGAGCTCCTCCTGCCCAGGAGTGATTCCACATTCGAGAATTCCCCACCAGTGCTGTCTGGGAGGCTGGAGAATGGACACTAGAACATTGGTACAGAAAAGGCTTCCTGTCTCTGAGCCTGACTGTCAGAGGAGGAGCCACGCAAGGCCTCTTGGCACTTCAGACGGCACCTAGTTTGCAGCCCAAATACTGGCTATGAATGAGTCTAAGCCGGGTAGTCATTGCTTTCCTCTCGGACCATAAAGAAGGTGGAATGGACATTGGTATTGCCTGTTAACAGTGTCCACCACACGCCTCTTTGTTCTTCATTTCAAAATCGATTTAGCTCTTTGAAGACTTTATCCTCCCATATTCATTTAAAACTGAATTTGTTGATTTTATCAAAAGTGTCAGCCTGAATTGTGATTGAGATAACACTGACTATATAGATTAATTTGTGGGCAAAATGCTATATTTATGCAGAAACACTATTCCAGCCAAAACAATTGTTTATACTGCATTTATCCAAATCTTCCTTAATGCATTTTGTAGAGCTTTAATTTTTGTTTTTCTTGCATTCTTTGCTGGGTTGATTTCTAGATGCCACTTTCAACAATAAATCTATGAAGTATGCTATTTTCTAGTCTGCTATTATTGGAATGCTACTGAATTTTGTAAGATCATTTTGTATCTAGCAGCCTTGCCGACTTTCTCATTTCTTTTAATGGTTTATTAATTCTCCTGGGTTTTCTACACAGTTAAAATCATTTATGAAGTTAAAGATTTTTCTCTCCTTTTTCATTTCTTACAACTCTTATTCCTTTTGTTTTATATCATTATTATGTTTAATAATATCAGTGGTCTTGGGCGTCCTTGTAACAGATCTTAGATTTAGTTTCCTTATGTTTTTGGTATGTTGCCTTTACAAAATAAGGAAGTTCCATCTTATAATAAGTTTTATGGAATTTTTATTGTTAATGGAGCTAGATATTATCAAATGCATTTTTTGAGACTATTGAGCTAACCTTGTATTTTTTATCTCAGACTTCTAAGGTGGTAAATTATGTTATAGATTTTGGGCAGATGACCCACCTTGAATTTCTGAGATTAAACCCACCTGATTGTCACGTGTATCATTTTTACTGCACTTTTAGATTTAATTAACTCATATTTTATTAAGGATTATTGCCTCTATTTTCTTGAGTGAATTGGGCCTGTGATTTTTTCTCCTATTTATTTAATTTTGGAATGAAGAGTATACTAATCTCATTAAGTGGATTTGACATCATTTTTTTATTTTTCCACTTTCTGGAACCTCTTGTAGAAGAGAGGATGTGTTTGTCACATGAAGTTTGGTGAAATGTTATGTGGAATCGTGTGGGCTAGAATTTCTTGAGGTGTGGGGGCTATTCAAGGGCCAATTTCTGCATTTTGTTTTTCCAAGATAGTATCCATTTCAAGTCATCATTTTTGTTTTGTATCATTGTGCATCGTGTGTTTTCTTTCTGTAGAACTTGTTCTGAAGTCTCCACTTTTGTTTTATTTTTGATCCCTGCTTTGTTACTTAATTGGTCTTCCAAACTTTTGCCCATCTTACTGGTACTACTTTTTTCTAATATTTGGTTCTCTATCACATTTGTTTCTGCCCATAGCTTTTCTTGTTTCCTCTCTCTTTTTCCAACTTCTGAGATAACTGCTTTGTCATTTCAATCATTTATGTTTTCTTATGAATATATGTTGGCAACCCATTTTCTTTACATTTCCCCTTATATCCTGCAAATAGTCTTGTATAGCTTTCACTATTGTTATAAGTGTTTTAAGGAGGTTCCTTTATGATTCCATTTTTAAAATAAAGATTACTTAGTATATTACTTACTGTCTATACATATGTGCATTTTTAGTTATCGTTTTATTGTTGATCTTTGATTTTATTGCTTTATGGAGAAATAGTGTGCACTTTGTTGATTTGGGGGTATTTTTTTAGATTTCCTTTTTGGAGTTATGATGTCTTAAATTAATGTCAAACATTTGGAAAGTTAAAAAAAAAAAAGGAAAATAAACAGAAAGCATGGAAAAATCACCCATGATCTTAATTCTTTGGCCAAGATACATCTTTAACCTCAATTGAATATTTATTATTTTAATGATAGAATATTAGTAGATTCATTAATTCAGTTAGCAAATCTTTGTGCATCACCTACAACCTGACATCTGAATTCCGCTTGACTAAAAAAACAAACTTTTACTTTGTGTATGGCAGAATTTAGCATCCATGTATGTTCAGTAATATGAATGATGTAGAATTCCACTTGGGTTCTTGTTAATGTTAAGGACTCTCTGCTCCTGTTTTTAACTTTAAAATGCAAACGTCCTCTTAGCAGGTAAGTCGGTGGATCACTAATAACCTCAGGGAGAATTATTTCAGCAGATTCTTTCTTCACTGACCAGTTTAGGAAAATGGAATCATGAGAAAACCAGACTCCAGGGAAACAGAAAAAGAAGACAAGACAGAGGACACTGGAATTAAATTTTGCCTGATTTACCGTCTGCACTATTAAGTAATCACAACACATGAAGTTGACCATTTGTGAATATCATCCAGAAATCGCTACATCAGAACTCATCCTATGCGAGAAAACGGCCCCTTCTTCTGCAAGTCGGACTTACTGTATTTAATAAATTCTATTCTTTGCTTGGAATTTGTATTTAATAAATTCTATTCATATGTCAATATCTGACAATGTTTCTTGAGCTTTTAAATACCAACACTGAGAACACGCCTTTTCTGAACACTGCTGGTAAGCGGGAGCAAGGCTCATACATCAAAACCTTTCCTGTGCAGTCCTACATAGAAGCCAGAGAAGAGACAAGAGGGGACGAAGACCATTCACAGAAATGCTGTGTTTGCTCAACTGGTCTGGTGGGAAGTCGGTTAACGGAGTCACCGGCGTGGGTGTGTGGCTAACTGTTGTGTGAGCCTCCACTCCGCTCCTTCCTCTGGCCTCAACTTCATCATTCAGTGCTAGCTTGACTCTCCTAAGGATGATGATGACTGATGGGAAAGTTCAAAGAGTGAGAGCACAACATACACTTCCCTGAATGTAGGTGAAGACCACAGCGCCCAGGGATGGCCAAACAGCAGGGCTGGGATAAGCTTGCCTGGCTCAGAGGGCCGAGATCGACAGTCCTGGGACTCCATGGGGCTGGCTCCCTGGAGAAGCTGCACCTCCCTGTTGTTGGGGTCTTTCTACCTTCTTGGCACCCGCCCACCTCTTCTGGAGACTCTGGAAATTTTCATGCCTGGTCATGACCAATTCCAGCCCTGGAACTTTCCTGATTCTTCAATACAACACTGAGGGAAACAAAGGCCAGACTATAGACATTTTGTCCCATCAGAAGCCTGGCCTCTATGGTTAATTTCTGAGTTGCATTCTGTATCTGTGACAGTCTGTCAATTCCAAAGGAGAGAGAAGTTTGGTAAAAGGAAGGCAGGCTTGGTTTCATGGTGTGGAAAAATACAGAGCGGGCAAGAACTTTCAGAGGGAGGTAACGGTCTCTTCTTTTCTGTGTTTCCATCTAGTTGCCTGAGAGACAATCAGAAGAAGGTCAGGAATAACGTGGGAAGGAGAGGGTAAGAATACGGCATATCAGAGCATTTTTCTCCGAGATTGACTTCCAGAACCTCTGTCCCATGAGGGTGAACATCATAGGCCTCTTAGAGCCACCGTGAGAGAGTTCTCTGGTGATTGCCTCCAAGACTTGGCAGAAGGTTAGATGGAGACCATATCTAAATAAGAGAGATGGGGTCTCAGCACACAAGTTTTGTTTCTTAATGGTCATAAAAGCAAATGCACAAACGCATAGCTGAAATAACGGAGGTTTGTTTTTGGTTGGCTATTGCAATGGCCATACTTCCAACCTACTCCTCACATTTATCCAGAATAATCTTTGGAAAGTGCAAGTCTAATCATGCCTTTCCCTTAGGACCCTTCAGTGGTTCTCCACTGCATCCAGAATAAAACCCGTACCCTTCACCGGGGCCTACAGTCCTACAAGGACTGACCCCTGCGGACCTCTGCAATTTCATTCCCCGCCCTCCGCCCTCACCCACTGTCCTCCAGGGGTTCTGCTCTCATTTCATGTTCTTCAGCCACCAAGCTCAGCCCCATCTTAGGGCCCTGCCCCATGCTGCTCTCTTGGTGCACAAGGTCCTCATCTTGTGTCCTGTGCTTGACAGCGCCTCTGCCTGGAGATGCTGGCTCTCACGCTCTCCCTGGCCACGCTCTGTAGGAACGTGGCTTCCACCCCCGTGGGTTCCTGTGCTGCCGCCTACTCAGATTTGCCTTGTCTTTCTTTCAACCTTTTAACTTTGTGTTTGCTACTTTAGCTTCCTGGAGTCCATCTCCCTCTGTGGACCGCGTGCTCTTCAGGGCAGTAACCACTGCCTGACTTGCTGTGCCTCTCTGCTGCCCAACCTTACAAGACGTTCAATGGAAAAAAGAAAAAAACAGTGGAAAAACAGCAGCTATCTGGACGCTGACATCTTGCCTGGTTTAGATTAACAGGAACATCTGTCTTGTTTGTTAATCGTGGGCTTCTCCTATCTCTGCTCTCAACGTCTTTCCTAATCATCTCATCTCAAGGTCTGGGTTTCTCTCTCTGACTCAGCCCCTTCTTCTCTTACAAAGTGTGAGTGGATGGATGGGCGTCAGGGGAAGGCTTGGCTTTGTTGGTGGTGTGAAATGGTGTTTGCAGGAATCAGCCGCTCCCGAGGTTTCACCTAGCCTTTCTCTGCACACAGGGAAGATGGGACAGTGGGAGGCTGTGCCTTGCAGCTGGAGAGGAGACAGCAAGCACCTGGGGATGTTCTCCAGCGAAAGTTCCTCTCAGGCTGCCGTGAGTCCGTTCTGGACAGCGTCAGGCCATTGAAACAAGGCTTTTGCTTGATTGTGTGTAAAATGATGTTTCTCTCGTTCTTCACTGTTAAAGGAGCTGAAGTCTTAACGTTTTCAAATGCAAGCAAGTCTTTATGACAAACAGACAGTAACTAATGAAAAGGAATCAAATGTCTCTAGAGTTTCCCCATCCAGGTAAATTTTACGGGCAGGACTCATGGAGCTTGGTCAGCTCGGCAAGGGAGTGCCCAGCTGGCTGACTGTCCCAGTCAACTGCAGAAATATGTACGGGTCTTACGTGGGCCAGAGCTGAAGTCAGGGATTTTTCGTTTTGGGGGGTGTTTGGCTAATTTAACAGGATGATGCTCTTTGGATAAAGTTACATTCTCTACATCTTCCTGAGTCAATTCTGCTTATTTTCTTTCTACTGGAATATCACTCATTTAACCCATGACTTTAAATGTACTTACAAAAAGAACAGTATGAACTTTTCAAGTCATTTAACTTTAAATTTAGGTTTATGAGGTATGATTCAATAAAATTCATCCTTTTCAGGTAAACAGTTGATAAGTTTAGAAAAACATATACAGTCATGTAACCATCACTGCAGTCGAGATTCAGAATATCTGCACCCCACCCCCACCAATAACCCCTGGCAATTGGGGGTCTGATTGCTGCTTTGCTTTTTTCCAGGATGTCATAGTACTGTCGCTTTTATCTTTATTGAATTCTTGTTTCTGCTTTTCTTAGTTTTTAAAATCGTTGCTATTCTAATCTTTTTGCCTTCCATTTGTCTTGTTACTTTACTTTTTATTTTTTCTTGGATCTGAGTAGTTTTTCCCTTCAAGCATTGTTTTATATTTTTAATACTGAGTTTTAATTGATTGCATTAGTATCAGTATCTGTGTTATTTCTGCTTTGTGGATTTTATCAAAGTTCTTTGTCGTATATTATGTACCAACTTTCAAACAAGTTACTTATATTCTTTAAATTTTCATTTCTTCGTACAGAAAATAGTCTTAAAATTTGAAAATACTACAACTTTAGACTGTAACTAAAATGACATTTTAAAAATTAGTCTATTTGTTAGTATGATGCCTGGCTGGACCAGCTCTCAGCAAAGACAAGCCAGCACTGTCTTCATTGTGCCCCGTGTAACCCTATGGAGTTCATCTCTGTTTCTGTCCTCAGCAGCCCGCTCTATCATCTGTCCCTGTAAGTTTGTGGGTAGGATTTCGAGGATCTTCTCATTTACCTTGACAGATATCTACCCCTCATCAAGAACAGCAGAGAAATCAATTGACTTTCAATATGTCCTTTGAATCCCTCCCAGTCACTATATCGCACACGTGTTCTCCGTAGGTGTGAGAAGATCCAGGGTCTGAAGATCTAGTAACTCCTTCAGTTTCATCAAATACGGAGTTTTATTCTCCACGTTTCTTTCTTTTCCTAAATGTTTGTGGTGTTCCTGTTTTTCAGCTTTATTGAAGTATAACTGATCAATAAAATTGTAAGATATTAAAGTGTGCATGATATATATGTACACTGTGAAACCGAGTGTATGTGTGTACACCGAGTTAATTAACACACCCATCACCCCACATATTTACCCCTTTTTTGGTGAGAGCATTTAAACTCTACTTTCTTAGCCAATTTCAATTAAACAATACAGTGTTATCAACTATACTTCACGGTTTTTCAGAAAGGACTAGAGTACGAGGGGGTTTAGCTGTACTTAATACTGGAATTGTCCATCTAGCAATGACCATAGGTGAAGAGCAGTGAAACGTGTCTTTCAAGCACATTTTCACTTCAGAGAACTGGAGTGTCTCATGTGATTATCTCTTTCTTTGTAGGCAGGAAATGACTACATCGGAGGGAGAAAATCAAGATGGAGATAAGAAAAGTGAGTCATTGCTTCATAAGATTTTTCCTACTAGGGAAGTTGTCAAATTATACACCCAAACCAGCTGACACCTGGACTGGAAGGAGCCCTACTCGGAGTCCCTGAAGAGATGGCACAGTCCTTCGGTTTTTTTTTGACTCACAAACCCCATCTCATTTTCTTTCTATTGCACTAATATCTGTATATGATTTATTTCAACTGACACTCTGTGAATTTCTGTGGGAAGCAATTACCAAAATCCTACTGATTTTAATTCATATATTGGTGTTTTAAAATAGGGCCACTTTGAAGATTAGCTGGTGATCCGGGTATTTTTTTTGCTCAAGTGCGTGCTCTGTTTGACCTGGTGTCCAGATGTAGTGATCGTGCTGTTAACTCACAATGGACGATGATAATAACAGTGCTCAGTCCCTGGGAACAAGCATGTCCAAGGGAAACTAACTTTATCTTACTGCTGTTGTTTCCGCTGTCTTCTCACCTCACAGTCAAGCTTCTTGAAAGAACTGTGGAGCCTCGTTGTTTGAAAGTTTGCACGTCCCCGTCACCTCTCAGCTCATGGAGCTTCTAGTACCACCCTCCACTGAGCATGTGACACAGGCTATGAAATGCATGTATTCCAACAGACATCGTCATGACCATGAATAGAATAACACTGACAAAAAGCATCACAGTGCTTCACATATGAAATTGTTCTATGTTCGTATATACGGTTGTACTAAACTATGGGATGAAATCTATTTCTAACAGTGGGTCATGTTCAAAGAAAGTTGAGTGCCTCTGCCCAAACGTAACTACTAGGACTCTAAAGCACAGTTCCCATCTTAATCTCAGTGCCCTCTCTCCAGCACTTAGGAGCAGTCTCAACCTCTCCCTCCTGAAATTCTTCCCTCCTCCATTCGTTTGGCCCCACGCTCAACTGTCTGGATGCTTGTCGCAGCCACGTCTCTACCATCTGACACCCCCCTTTCTCGGGTGTACCTAAATTGCCAGTCTCCTCAGTGACCCTGCCTTAGAATTTTTCTACCCTCTTGAAGAGTTTATGTGTGATTAATCTTATTTCTTCTTCAAATCTTTGGTAGAATTTTCTGGGGAAGCCATCTGGGGGAATTATATTTATTGTGAAGAACTTTTCATACATATGAATGCAAATGCTTCTGTAGTTACGGACCATTCACATTTTCTGTTTCATTTTGTCAGCTTTGCAAGTTACATTTCTTGTCAAGTTTGTCCTTTTCAATTAAAATTTCAAAGTCCTAAGCTTAAAACTATTCTTCATACCCTTGTGTGTATTTAACGTTTGTTGGATCTGTAGTGATGCCCTTATGCTCATTCTTAACATCGTGCTTGTGTGTGTGTGTGTGTAAGCAGGCATGCTTTCCAACTATTATTTGATTCATTAGTTTTACTAGAGTTCATTCATTTCCTTAATATTTTTATGGAACCAAATGTTGTATTTTATCAATCCTCTATCGCAGGAGAGTCTTTCTCTGGGGCCCCTCTGATTGGTATACGGCTCACCCAGATTCTCAGAGACTGACCAAATGCTGTGCCACTTTTGCAGGAAGAGGAGATACAGCTGGTTTGGCTGGGGGCATCCTGAAATAACTCACACTACTAAACCCCAAGAAACTCCACTGAGGTGCGGGCCCCTTTGTTTTCCTTTGATGTGCTGTGTGTTTAGAGTCACCTGGGCTACCTGCTCCTTCCTGTTCACGAGGACATTCCAGCCTTATGTTCTCCATGGAGTACACCATTACCGTGTCCTGTGGATATATGAAACGATCAGTGTTCCCGCAAGGCAGATTTTGACAGACAGAAACTGATAAACCCTGAGATAGACCAGTGAAGCTGTGCTGGTATCCCTCCACGTGTGTTAGATGTCTGCGTTGTATTGCTTTAGTCAACCGAACAGACCCCATTTGCAGCAGTAAATGCAACTGAAGTTGCCATCTAATTAAGTTTGTGACAATGTCCGAGACCCTCCTTTACACAGGTCGAAAGGGGAAATTAAATGAGGCAGTGATCAAAATCACAACCTCTGCATCATCTCAGTGTGCAGATCATTGATTTCCTGATTTCCTTGGGGAAGTTGTGTTGCTGTTAGTGAATTTGTTGTTTACTCTCCATTTGGACCACACCACCAGAGCAGGCCAGGAGAACCAATCTGATGGTGCCACTACTTGGTCAACACATCTGTTTCACCCAGGTTTTCAAGTCATGATGAAATTCACAAGATGTATTTATGTACCCTTCAACGCATTGTGAAACAGACACGGGGGAAAACTTTTCTCACCCCAGTTGGTGGGCTAAGGTACATAAAAGATCTTTTCAGGGCAGTTTCCTTGGTCCTTTGATCAGCTCTTGAGCCGCAAACTTAAAGCCACGATGTATCATGTTTTCTGTTTCTGTGCTCCAGAAGCCATTAGATCAGGTCTTCGTTATATTGTATTCCTCATTCTTTCCAAAAGGGTCTGTTGGAGCCATCCTTTAGGCTGGCCTCCTCCACTCAAGTGACCACAGGGCAGCTCGAGGAGCTGGAAGAGGCAAAGAAATGGAGGCTCCCTTAGAGTTTCCAGAACAGAATGCAGCCCTGTCCACACCTTGACTTAGCCCAGGGAGACTCAGTTCAGAATTCTGATCTGCAGAACTGTCAGGCAATGAGTGCGTTGTTTTAAGCCCTCAGGTTTGTGACTGTTGGTTACAGCAGCAATAGGAGACTAGTACAACCTGAAACGCTACAGCCATTTCAGACGGCCCCTCCTGAGATCGGTTTCTGGGCGGCCACTCTAGTCAACAATTGGAAGTGCCCTCAGCTCTGTGAGCTGCAGTATCGAGCCCAGACTTTCTGGTAGGTGCACCAATATCTAGACATTCATTCAGGCCCATACCGTCCGTGGGCTTTCCTTCATAGTCTAGGACTCACAGAATCAACTCAGTAACAACCCCAAGTGGCTGAATTCACATTTTTGTTTGTTTGATTTTAGCAGATGGTGAACAAATATTGAATAAAAATAGATCAATAAAAAGGTCGACATACCCTTTCTGTTATCATCCACTCCATTTTGAGGGCACACTTGGGTCTGATTTTCATTTTCAGTCTGAATAGGTTGATGTGTTCTTGCTGAGGGACACTGCTTGGCTTTCCTTTGCACGATGACTTCCCCAGGCTTTCAGTCAAGGAAGGAAGCGCTTCACAATCCAGGACCCAAGGGAGCACCTCATCTGACAAGAGACAGACGGTTGGCGGTTGGGTTTCAGGTTAATTGTCGTCATCAGAAATTCATTCAGATATTCCTGTTCTGATTCTAAGCTCACATTCTTTTCCAATCAATGCACTAACTTCAAGTAAGAAGTCTTTGCAGGGTGTCAGTATTCAACTGACCTTTAGCATAGTGATGGCATGTTCCACATTTTTCATCTGAAACTAAATATGCTGATTCATAAACATTTTAACATCTTCAGCACCTCTAGCAGCAAGCACTTCACCCACTAGTCTTTTGTTTCTTCACGCGCTTCATACTGACACTTGCTTCTCCAGACTGCTATCTCTAAGCCTATAATTGAATTGTATTCAGGCTACATAATTCCCTCAGTTTATGGTTATGAAACAATATTAAAGTCGAAACATATTTGTTTAAGCAAATCATTACATATGACTACATTCATAAGGATATGTAATTATGCAGATATACATAGCATTTTCATATTTGAAATCAGTGCTTTGAACATAACTTTTTATTTGTAAAGAATGGTTGGCTATTACAAATTATTAGCATACTGTTGTTTTACAGAATCTGTTTAATTTATTCTAAGATTTTGCTAGGAATTACTTTCAAGCTTATTAGGTTATAGATTTCAGAATCAGTCAATGTTCCTCTTATAAACTGGGATTTTTGCTGTATTTAGTATTCTATGACCTCCCTAATTCTAGCTTGTTTATTAAAAATATTAGTAATGGATCTCAGATTACCATGTTTATAAATTGCTTCAGTATTCACAGATATAATCCACCTGAGTCTGTATGTGTGGATTTAACTGGAAATAGTTACTCTTGTCGTTTCAGTGCCTAGCTCAATAACAATGGTTCATTGTGAAGAATAACATGATTTTCCTGTGATACTTTTATAGTATTTATATCCTAAATTCATAGCTATAATCATTCTTTCTTCATACTTGCCATGCTCTGTTGTCACAGCGTGTTTGTGGACAAAATTTTATTACTCAATTCCAAAATCCAGTTTCATTTGGCAGCGTTGGTACCATTTACGGAGAAATACATGATCGACGCTGCGCCTGAGTGTGCGTTCTCCCTCAGTCTTGTCATAGAGGCTCGAGACCCCCGACAGTGACGGGAGATAACACCAGAGTCTGGATGGTGGGCCTCTGCACTCTTGTCCCGCATTCTGCCCTTCCGCCTTCCCCACCCCCACCTGTGATGGTCAAAACTCTTAGGTTGCTTTCCTTTCCTTTTTATCCTCCAGGTAAAGAAGCTCCATCCACTTCTGATCAGGTAATAAAAAAATTATTACATTCTTCTGATAAATGTCAAGATGCAGATGACTTCATCTAAGCGTAGCCGTAGATCTTCCTTTGCTTGAGATTTCTGAGTGGATTTACCAAAGTCTTTCTTATTTTAATATCCTCGGAAATTTTAATGAAGAAAGGGAAAGATTTTTTAAAATTTTAAATCTTTTAACTGATTTAGGTGATTGGCAAGTTCTTATTGTTGTCCCAGTACTACTGAAGTCTACCATTTTAATTTTCAAAACTATTATAACAAAATAAGTGAAATCAAATAAATTTACTCTTATAATCTGAACACCATAAAACATTAGTTCTTTTTTAGCTTTCCACATTCCCTTCCAATCATTAAGTCCAGGAATTAGCATTTATATTTATAAACATGCTGGATATCAATAAATATATGAAAAAATATTTATTCCTTTTATTGCTACATCACAAGCATTTTATCAATTTAATTAGTATGTGGCATCTTAATGTTTTAATTTTTCTTTCACAGTCTACACAGTTGAAAATGTATTTAAACTCTAACTTTTATTAGTTGTATTTTATCTTATGAAAATTTATTGTTATGTAACTTGACTAATTACTTATTGAGGTCTGATTGTTGCACATATTGTGTCTCGGTATGTGTGACCTGAGGCACAGAACTGCTTGCCTCTGGATGTTCAGAAGGATGATGGTGTCCTTCCTTCCTCTTTTATTGTTTGAGGTAAAGTGGAAGCAGAATGAGAAGTAGCTTGGAGCACAGTATGTGTTGCTAAAATGAGGTCTCTAAGACATCAGGGATGAAAAAGTGCTTTGGATGCCTGAGGGGTGTGATGGCCGTCAGACAAGAGAGGAGTAGGGGGCACTGGGTTCAGATCTGAGGGATGATCCTGCACCCTTGACTTGTCTTTCTTTTGTGCTGGGCAGGGCAACGAGACTAGCTGTGGTTCTGAAGAAGTGTCTTACTCCGTCATTAACCACAGGAGGCCGTCTCTGAGCTCCAACGACGATGGTTATGAGAACGTTGATCCCACCACAGAGAGAGTCAGACCCCTGAGAGAAGGGTCAGAAACAGAATACACCCTTCTCAGGCTGACATGCCTTACCAGGCCTTCCTCCTGCACCCCCGAGAATGATTACGAAGTCGTGCTTCCTCGCCAGCACCCTCATACCTCATCTTCTTCCAGCAACAGACACGACACAGAATAGCTGCCTCCGGGGGAGTCTTTCTCTCCCAGCATTCACAAAACATTCATTTCTGGCCAGAGTTTAGAAATAATATCCTTCTACTATATTGCCTTGGGAAACTCTGAAACGTGGTGTCTCTGTGGTATCAGTTGAAATAGTGACAAAGTATTCTACATCATTTTGTTTGTAAAATTTGAGGACATGGAGATGGTGTGGAAAGCTTCCTAGGACAATAAGCATCCAGAGATATGTAACCTAGACTATCCAGTTCCAATCCTGCTCTCCAAATTTCAAACGCCAGCATCCCCACTCCTAATTGTCTATTTCATTGTCAAGGTGTAAGCTACTCAATAAAGATGAATGGATAAAGAAGTTGTGGTGGATATATATACACACACACACAATGGAATATTACTCAGCTATTTAAAAAAAGAATGAAATCTTTCCATTTGCAGCAACATGGATGGACTTAAGGGCCTTCTGCTAAGTGAAAAAAGTCAAAGACAAATACGGTATGATCTCACTTATATGTGGAATCTAAAAAAAAAAATGAACTCATAGATTCGGAGAACAGACTGGTGGTTGCCAGAGGAGGGGGTGGGGAGTGGCAGAAATGCATGACAGGATCAAAATCTACAAACTTCCAGTTGTAAAATCAATAAGTCGAGGAGATGTAACGCGTTGCCTGGTGACTATAGTTAATGATACTGCATTGCATATTTGAAAGTTGGTAAGATAGTAAATCTTAAAACTTCTCATCACAAGAAAAAGAAATTTTTGTAAATACGTAAGGTGACGGAAAAAAAGCCAACCCAGGGCTCCCAGTGTGTGCACAAGCTCCTTTCTGGGAGTTACCAGCAGTTGGAGTGAGGCGGGGGCAGAGCACAGAGACAGTGCTCCCCTCAGGTCTCTGGAGAGGATTACGGCGGCCATTGGCTGTGTGGTTAATCAGAAGTCTGCCCCTCCGGCCACAGCTGTGAGATCCTTGTGACCTGGAGGAGGCCAGGGTAGAGCCTGGAAACAGTGTCTCTGCTGTCTTTGGAGAACATTTCACTTGGCCCCTAGATCTGTGTGAGTGTTGAAAGTTGGGGTGCCTGATGTGAGGTTCAACCCTTCACTCCTCACTGGGAAGCTGGGCGTTGTGAGTTCCCTTTCGATTGTGGGTTACTGCACCAGGGGTGGGGCTTATGGTGAGGTTGTGGCTCAGCCTCTCCCACCATTTAGACGTGGAGTTTGCTCATTCAGCTGATGTGTAGGAGGGGCTCAGCTCATTTCCGGATTTCTGTGAGAGGGAATTGTTCCGTATGTAGCTGTAGATTCAGTGTGTCTGGGAGGAGGTGTGTGCAGGGTCCTGCTGGGTCACCATCGTGCACTGGAGCTCTTGTGCCTTCAACTCTTGGTGGACAACTGGCTTTTGCAGTTTTTGATGCTTTTAAACAATGCTGCTATGTGCGTGTCTGGTGTATTCTTGTGCGTATCCACCCAGTTTCCTCTAGGGATCCTAGAGGCGGGATTGCTGGGCAGCAGTACATGGAGATGTTCAGTTCCACTAGAAAAGCCTGCATGATCCCTCCACGGACATTCCGAGCTCCCAGCGTCGTTGTTTCAGAGTTTTTGATGCTGCACATGCTTGTCTACCCTTCACATCATCAGCGTTTTACATTTTGTCAAGTCTTATAGATAGATGTGCAATGGTAGACGTAATTGTTTTAATCTATGTTTCCCTCAAAAACCTTTATTGACTTATTTTGTGAAGCACATAGTCAGTCATTTGGCCCATCTGTCCCATTGGGTTTTATGTTTTTATTGATTTCCAAGATGTGTTTATGTATGCTGGATACGAGTCCTTTGTTATTTATATGTTGTAAATATCTTCTCTAGTCAAATAGCTTCTCTTTAACTTTTTTAAATGAATTTCTTAATTGTCCTCTTATTAAATTTCTCAGTCTCTTACTTAGTTTAGTACTTTTTGTGTCTTGCTTAAGAACAAATAAAATATAATGATAAATTCCAATATTCCTTTCTATTCTCTTCATTGTTTTTCCTCTTAAATTTATACCTGTAATCCACTGGGTGTTTATGTGTAATGTTGAGATAGTAGTGCAATTTCATTTTTTATTATGGTAAAATATACCTAACAAATGTTTTATTGTTATAAAATATACATAACATAAAGATGGCACTTTCTGTTCTTTTGGTTTTTTTGTTTTTTGCTGAGGAAGATTCGCCCTGAGCTAACATCTATTGTCAATCTTCCTCCCTTTTTTTTTTTTTGTGAAGAGGATTAACCCTGAGCTAACATCTGCCACCAATCCTCCTCTTTTTGCTGAGGAAGATTGGCCCTGAGCTAATATCCATGCCCATCTTCCTCTACTTTATATGTGGGATGCCTGCCACAGTGTGGCTTGACAAGCAGTGCAAAGGTCCGCACTTGGGATCTGAACTGGTGAACCCTGGGCTGCCAAAGCGGAACGTGCTAACTTAACCACTGGCCCCAAAGATGGCACGTTTCTAAGTTTACAGTTCAGTGGCACTAAATATAATCACAGTGTTGTGCAACCATCACCTCTCTCCATTTCTAGACTTCTCCATCATCCCAAACAGAAACCCTTTAGCAATTTTATTTTTATTTGGGCAGCTAATTGGTCTAGGACTACTTACTAAAAAGGCATCTCGGGGGCTGGCCCCGCGGTAAAGTGGTTAAGTTTGCACACTCCACTTCGGTGTCCTGGGTTTGCGGGTTCAGATCCTGGGCGTTGACCTACACGACTCGTCAGCCATGTTGGGGCAGTAGCCCACATATTGAGGAAGATGGGCACAGATGTTAGCTCAGGGCTAATCTTCCTCCAGTAAAAAATGAGGAAGATTGCCAACAGATATTAGCTTAGGGATAGTCTTCCTCAGCAAAACAACAACAACAAAAAAATAAAGACATCTCTTTCCCTTCCTGACCTGCCCAGCCCACTGATGATAAATCATGGATGCATGTTCTTGTCTCTGGGCTTTTTCTTCCCTCTTTTGACCTATTTACCTCTCTGTGCCTGGATACCACATACTCTTAATCACTATTTTAGAAGGTCTTGATAAATGGAACAATGAAGTCCTCCAATTTTTTTTGTCTTTTCCACCCAACATTCCAAGTTTTTTTACTTTTTCCATCCCACTGAGTTTCCATATAAATTTAAGAATTAGCTTATCATGTGTCAACAAAGCTTATTGTATTTTATGTTATTATACTGAATCTATAATTGGTTCTTCTCCTTTTGCTCTGTGCTTCTTGATTAAAATTTTAAAATGTCTTAACTGTCATAATGGAAAGTGGGTGAGAGAGATTCATGCTCTCAATCTGTCGTGTGTATCTTCAGTCCTATTTATTTCTCCATAACACTGTGCATACACTTCCTTTTTAAAAAAAACAATGATAAGAGAACAGCTGTCCCCACCACCCAGTTTAACATAACAGAATATCACCACTGGCTTCTCAACCTCCTGATGCAATATCATCTCTCTTTCTTTCCCAAAAAGTTAAGCGTAGATTTTCCATCAAAATAAGGAAAAACTAAATAATATTTCCACTTTACTTCAAATTCCTAATGAGATTATTTTCTCTAGGATGAAATCAAACGGCACGCTGCAGTGTGGAGCCTCTACGACACCGCGGCTGGCCCGCTGGCCGTCAACCTCCCCCTCCCCACTCTCTCACGCCCTCGCTAGGTTCCAGTCTTGAAAAACTACTTGCAAACACCTCTTATGCTTTTTGGTTTCTGAGATTTTTGTTCATTCTCTTCCTGTTTCCTGAATAGTTTCTTTGCATTTTTTTCTCACGTTTTGGCTAATTTCTACTTCTTTTTCAATGAACACCTCTTTTTCAAAAAAGCTCTTTTGTCCTTTCAAAGTCTAAATCCTTGTTCTCTTCCCTTACGTGGTGACAAGATACTAGACACTGAGTTGGCTTTACACAATGTATCAATCTGTCTTCTATTATCATGTGACCTACAGGAGGGCAAGTTCATTGCTATGTCTCTATTTTCTTGAACAGTGGCTAGAAGAAGATAAATACTTAAGAAACGACTATGAAATGAAACTCTGTTTACTAATACCTGGATAAGATTTACTTATTTAATACTTGATTTAATTCAGTAGGTATTATTCCAGAGGAGTAAAAAAGATTAGTAAGACATGATCCTTGCCTTCAATATCATAGAGTACATAATATTATTGTTTTATATAAATTTGCATAAAAATATTTCAAATGTGAAGTAAATTTTGGTGGAAACAATGTAAGCACGGATGGAAGGTTAAAATAAATATGCCAATTAAAAACATTGATTGCACAACTGCAATGTGTCAGACACTCAACTAAGTGCTGGAGATACCACCACCACAAAGTTCAGAATCCAGGGTAACACTCAGGCATTAAAAAATAGAGTATGTAATGTTCTAATTGTTTTTAGATGCCAGAAAGTGAAAAGGGCATCATCAAAAAAGATTTGTTTCAGATTGGCAGTATGGAAAAAGTGCCTAAGGAAAGAAGTATGAACATAGGTAGACTGTGAGAAGAACATCTCTGTGTCAGGGAAGGGCAGTTTAAAATGCCTCACTATAGGAAGTCAATTGAAATGTGAGAAATGTAAAAGAAAACAAAACAAAATGCCAGCAAAGCTGGAGCAAATAGAGCTGAGGAAGCAAGCTGGGACAAATCATTCTGGACCCTTTAACTGGTGTGAAGAACTTTGGGATTTGTTAGAATCTAACGAGAAACTATTAAGAGGATTTAAATGAAGGGCTGACATGGAAGGATGGGTGCATGGATGGATGGATGGAGGAATGGATGGATGGATGGATGGACGGATGGATGGATGGGTGCATGGATGGAGGGATGGATGGAGGGATGGATGAATGGATACACGGATGAATGGATGAGTGCATGGATGGATGGATGGATGGATGGACGGATGGATGGATGGTGCATGGATGGAGGGATGGATGGAGGGATGGATGAATGGATACACGGATGAATGGATGAGTGCATGGATGGATGGACGGACAGATGGATGGATGGATGGATGGGTGCATGGATGGAGGGATGGATGGAGGGATGGATGAATGGCTACACGGATGAATGGATGAGTGCATGGATGGATGGATGGACGGATGGATGGGTGCATGGAAGACTGTCCAATGTGCTCAATAAAGTCTTAAGTGCTTCCAGGAATACTATTGAAATTTCCTAGGCTATAAAAAAATGCTCCAAATGACAAAAATTAAGACTTCAGGGCTTACAATGCATTACTCTCCTTGGTCATCTTGTGTTTTGTAAGTATCCCTGGTGGGGCATGATATCCCAGAGGACCAACCCATGACCTCTAGAG